ATGTGATTTTTCTTTCTTGTTTGGTTTTTGTTCTTGTAATTTCTTTTTTCAAGTTTAAGGTTGGATTTTCGGCTCATATTCAAGAGTGGATTTTGGTTTGTGTTTAATGGCATTTTGTTAAGATTGAGTAACCCCTATCTAAGGAAAATCTTATTAAACACATTGAGGGTCTGCTTTTGATAGCATTCCCTCACTCGATGGTCGCCTCCACATATGAAACAGTCTGAGAAGGCCTTCCTAGGTGCCCCTTTCTCTTAGACTACCCCCTTCTCAGGTCTAGTTCCATATCCGCGCACCACCCTCTCGCTATTTGCCCATGATGGCACACCCTCGTGGTTTGAGTCCACAGCCCCACGAAGGTCAAGGTCTGCTAGGCCCTCAGCTGTCGCCATAGCAGTGGGCAAGCCCTGCACGCCTTGCTCCTCAACTCAGCCTACGCCCAACCTTGTAGCCCAGACACGAAGTTGAACAATCGATCGTCCTCGTTCATGGCTCGTATGTCCAGCATCGGCAATGCAAACCTATTCACATAGTCGCGCACCGAACCTGTTTGGCGAAGCTTGCTCAAAGCCTCGCAACCCACCCAAGCCGCATTTCCTAGCAAGAACTGCTCCCTCAGTTCTTGTTTCAGGGCCTCCCAAGTATTCACCTTGGGCCTTGAAGTATCCGCAACCCTCATCACCTGCTAGAGATTCGCATCTTCGGCGAGGTACATGGCACAAATACCAACTCTATCCTTCTCATGGGCATGAGCAGCCTCGAAATACTACTCCATGTCCCATAAGAAGTTCTCCAACACCTTGGAGTCCTGCTGGCCTTCGAACACACGTGGCTCTAGCACCCTCACAGCTCGAGAGTCCAGTCAGCCAGTGATGCTACCCAAGGCCCTCTTGACAAGTGCCATGTCATCTTGTATGGGTCATGAGGTTCGCCTTGAAGGTTTCAGTGAAGGCCCTAAGGTCGCCCATGAGTCCCTATACGAGTAACATAGGTGCCACAGTGCCCCTCCACTCCTCCAAAGCACCAAACTGGGCCAAGGTTCTCCCCTATCCTGCCATACTGGGCACCTTGGGTGAGTTGTTCCAACTGCATCTCAAGGTGTACCACACAATCACGCAGACCAGCCATACCATCAGCCATGGTCGCACGGTGCCGACCTTAAGCTCTGATACCAACTGTCATGGGGGTAGATCTCTCACTACACCCATGTGTTGCGCCAAGCCTCAGTCCTCGCTCAACTAATGCCAGGCCAGCCTTCCCACACCATGCACAAGAAAGAGTTCGTGTCAATCACACATACAAGGGAACACAGAAAGCAACGAATAGCCAAGGGCCATAGCCCAACATGTTCCACTATACAATTGCTAGTGTCTACAGCCACGATCCCTCACTCTGGGTGGGTAACGGGTACTTATAGCCCCCAAGGTGACATTTGAATTTCAAATGCTACACTGCACATAAAAGTCACGCCACCACCATGACCTGCTGCATGGAGGCCACCTAGCCACCACACACTCTGGATCAGCCAGTTGGCTGCACACCACTTGGATCGGTTACACCCGAACTTCCCATATCCCACGTTTTGTGCTAGCAAAGCGTAAGTGCCCTCATGGTGGCCATTACGCCCATCTTCCCCATTCCTTCAATCCATGCCCTTTGGTTCTTCAGTGAAGGGGGGCGGTTACGCCTAGTCATCCCACTACAATAGGGATTGACTAGCCATGTACCCGCATGGAACGATTGTAGGGGTCCATACACACACATGCACTACGACTCACACATGAGGCTTATGGCAATTACATAAGCCCATGTCTAGGCAATTACACAGTTTGAACACATATAGCCATCGTCATTACACACCTGCCCAACCAGGTGTATGGCTTCCCTCTTACACACAGTCCTCTTAACCGTGTCATATCAGGTCAAGCCATCTTCTTAGCCATCAACCCACATTGTCCTTAGCCCAAGGCCTCCCACCAACGGTCTTTAGCCACCAACAGTTTGTGCGTGCACCATGCTCCTAATGCTGCACACCATGGCCTCTCGCACGGGTTAAGGGAGAGGGACACACACCCTACTCAACTATGGTTGTAGGCATAAAGAACTAGACCTTCGTAAGTTGTAGCTCTGCTCTGCCAAAGTGGCATATGTGCTGCATGATGCACCAAGGGATTACTTGACCCTTAGCCATCAAGGCACAACACGCACCACTTGGCCTACACCACATGCATCATGTTGTTAGCCGGCTTGCTCCACGTACTAGTCGCACCATCTAGCTGCATCACATTCATCAAGCTACCTACGCCAATCGCACTAGGTTGCCTTACACCGCACGCACTAGCTGCCCACACATCAGGCACCAGGCTGCATGTGGCTTAGGGAAAAGGAGCCTAACAGTAAGCTTATTGATTTTTAGGCTGACAAGTGGCTCTCAGAGAGATCTATATGGGAGCAATATGGTATGAACATACACAAAGACCAAGGGCCAAATATAAAGTGTCTGATTATCTAGAAGGTTCACTCCAAAGTTAGACCCTACCACCCCACTTCTAGTCCCCTTATTCACGCATGGGAGGAGCTGCAGTCCCATGTGCTCCCCATTTGCCCCATTACGGATCAGCTAGTCTGAATACATTTTATCGATGGTGCTTTCGCAGTTGGGAGTGTGTGGGATCAGATTCGTGGATCTGCCCCTATACAATCAGCTTTTAAAGTCCTTTAGTCAACACTGTCAATACCCAGAGCAAAGAGGTTCACCTAGCGTTCTGTTTATTCCCAATTACCTACCACTACGTTGCTCCAATCACGAGGCCTGCCCATGGAGTCTAGATGCCCTTTTTGCCTCCAAGAGGAGACTACTAACCATATTATTATGCAATGTTCTTTTTTGCAAGTTCTTTGGCGGTTTGATCTTTGGAGATTTGGCAAAAATATTATGATCAAGCAGTCAACAGCTATGATGTTCCCAAATGGATCAAGTTCCGCTTTAAACTCCTGGTATGAAAAATGTTTGGATATCTATTTTCTCCATCACTATCTGGTGTCTTTGACAGAATGCAACTTTCGCAAGCATGGAGGAAAGACATCCAAGGAAAATCCATTGAGGCAAATAATCCATTTCGTTGGCTCGCTTGCTAAAGGGGAAGGGCCGGGCCTTTCATGATTCGGAGCGCTGCATTACCAACAACCTCAAGTTACGTTGGCAGGCTAGGCCTTCTCCCAGTATACAAGTGGCGTGGACGTTCCCCCCAATTGGCCACTTCAAGCTTAACATAGATGGTTCTTCCTTCCATAATCCTGGAGCTACTGGTTGCAGGGGTATCATTATGAATGATAAAGGTGGTTTCATAGCTGCCTTTGCAGTTTCCCTGGGTCTCAATTCAAAAGATGATGCTGAATTCCATGCTTTGAAACTAGGTGTCTCTCTTGTGGAATCCTTGAGACAAAAATGTAAGCCCCCATGGAAGTTGTGTGTTGTCTCAGCTAACTGCAGCACGAGTCTTTTCACCTTTGCAAATCACCAGTGGCATATTATTCATATATAAGGAGGCCAATATTGTTGCTGACTATCTAGCAAAGAGGGCAGTATCCATGACAAAAGCAACAGTGTGGTGTGCTCACCCACCAGATATCCTCTATTATTATATGATGTTGCTAATATCCCCCTTCCATGGGGTCTAAAATGACTTGTAAATGTGTTTACCTTTCATTGTTTCATCAATAAACCGGTAGGGGACCGTCATCCCCACTAATTCACCCCCAAAAAACAAATCACACATGAATTAGCACAACAGAGTGAACCACCGTTGAGAACACAACGATAATTATCACAAAGATAAACATAGAATAAATTAACAGTAAGGATATCTGATTATGATGGCAAAAATAAAGAAATCTACAATAAAAAGCCCTAAAAATTTTTGAAGTTCCTTTCGCATCTATGATGTTTCGAAATTTTGTGTTAATTCTTAACTTTTTCCTACATAGCAAAAGTTGATAGTTCTTGATTTCTTTTCTAGCTCCAAATATTTACAACTTTGTTCACCATTAGAACTTAGACAATTCCATTTGGGCAAAAACGCAAATACATCAAACCAACATTTTGCAACTCTGCAAGTCCAACTCAGACTAGTGAGTAACTTAGTCTCAGTAGAGTGCCGAGCCTGGAACATCCCCTCCACACACAATGCCAAAATTTCCCCTCAACAAAAATAAATAAAATAAATAAAAACATAAAAAATCAGGGGCATAGATAATTGAATTATTACTAATTATACTCGATTTATAAATGATTTAAACCTTGACCAAATCAATTATGAATTTATGATCGACTTGTAATAAGTTTTTATATATCTTTTATTGTTTTATAGTTTTTAATATTTCTCCTATTTTTCTCATTTTTCTGAGAAAATGATTTTTAACCAGTTCTCTAATTCTTTATTCTTTCAAAACTTTTTTCTCATCTTTTATATACCTTTTTTTTATTGTTTATCTTCTTTCCCCCCCTATTTTACCAATTTTCCCCTTTTTTTGGCTCTATGGGTGGCTCAGCACAGACTGGGGCAAGTCAACTCAGACTCACCAGAGTAACTCGGCCAGGGTAGGAGGCGTGTTCCTCCACCTAGCGAATTATAAAAGCATTACATGAAACAAGACCCATGTATCACTATGCATAACTCAAGGAAATATTGCTATTAAAAGAAATAGCACCCATCTTACAAAAAAAACCATTGGCAGCGAAACGTATTTGATACAATAATAATATGAACAATGATCATGATCTATAAAGCAAAACCATCAAAAGATAAAAATCACTGACAGCAGTTTTATGGACTAGCAATAGCTGGAAGAAAATAAACATGTTCAATCTAAACCTTAGCTACATGCTCAACAAATACCATCATTTGATTAGTAGCTCATTAGAATAAAAATTCAATTGGGCAGATAGAAAAACCCAAAAAAAAAAAAGTACTGTAAACACAAATGGGCCTTTATATTACCGTTTCTGGCTCATTGGAGTACTTGAAGCCATAGGCATTACTAGAAATGGAAGACTGCTGCAGCTCTTAACTTCAAAGACATGTTGGAAAATTACATGGTTCTTCAGAAGATGCACCCATAGCCAACTGAAAGACAAAGCAAAATGATTAGAATTTTGCAGCCTAAATGTTAAACTGCACATGCGAATCAACGGGAATTTCATATAGCTCCATAGGTTGGAAGAATGCCTAACTGTCTTGACGGATATCTGCCATCCGTGATGGTAATAAATCCATTCGAAGCTAAAAACTGGCCTCAAACTAGAACTTTCTGTTAAAAGAAATATGTACAATATTAGTAATCATGCTTATGATTGCAGCTATCAAGTAAGCCAGTGATTGAAAAATAGGACTTGGGCATGGAACTGCACAAGACCAGAGCCCAAGTCAGCCTGTCTGAGTCAACTGAGTCTCAACAAGACTCAGACGAGTCAATGAAATATTAATACAACAACCTTGGGGACCAGTAAAACAAGGCCGGTTCCCAAGGTTTTCTAACAGGACCTGGCACTCTGCCAGGTTGGAATTAACTTGGGCAAGTACGAGAAGGCCTCGCTGAGTTTTCAAAAACTGGAGTAAGCAAATACATTATCAAGAAACATAATTCAAAACATTAAGAACCCTGCTACAAACTTGACATGTTAATCAACTCATATGTTCAATAAAATCCAATAGCAGCAGTCCACATTTTTCAAAAGGGGACTCCTAACCAGTAGAATCATTTCTAAATGAGTATCATTAACAAAAGATCACAACAATTCACATGAAATTGTGGTGAAATTCCATGAAATAAGAGGATATATAGTCTTTATGTGTCTCAAGAGATATGTTTCTTCTTTTCCATTTTATATTTTTAATGCAATTTATATGAAAAAGTAGAAAGAACTAAAATAAAGTGTGTTGGGTATCAAGGAGATATTAAAGTGACAACACAACAATGCTAAAAAATAGAACTGGGCCCTCTTTGTCATTGTCCCCAGTTCAGTGGGGTTCCAATTCCAATTCTCCAAGTCCAACTCGGAAATCCCCAAGTGGGAACCACAACTACAAAGAAATTAAAAAGAAAAATTAGAAACCGGAAATTGAGCAATTCTAGCGATTTTCCTTCCAGAATCATCCACCATCAAGTTCTGGTCCAACACGGTAAATTCCGAGCTGGGTCACCAATTTTTCAATCACTGGTAATTAGGAAATTCCCAGTGGATATGTTTCTTCATGTGACAAATACAAACAGGTATTGGCTTGTCCAGCCAAGAGCATGTTCACTTCCTGAACACCAAGGCTCATCTACCACGTGCCCCGTAGAATTGAATCCCATACAAAATCTGCTCCCTAGAGGTACAGTACAACAGCATAGAGACCATCAGAAGTCCAGGAAAAATATCAGTCAGTAATTTTAAACATATGAGAAGGAAAACCTACCCATATAAACAGCAATACCCTTACTGCAACAGAGCCTCAAATCACCTGGAGTCCCCTAGCACTAGCAGTACCCTAGGCATCTAGTTGCCCTGTTCAAAATACCTCCAAAGTGCTTACCCAGAGAGCCAGCTCTGTTGCTTTAAAAAATGAAAACTTCGTTCCAAAAAAACTTTATACATCTCAGATGGGCATCATCATGTCTAAGGCATTCAGAACCCTAGATTTCAGAAAAGTCAAATTCAATGGAACGACCATGTTGGCAAACACTCTATCTGTTAATAACTTCATTTTTTTAAGATAGTTGGTCAGCTGTCAGCATGGGATTCAAACCTTGGACATCTGATTGAAACCGTCAACATTGAAACAAATTAGGTCGATGAAAAGCCAATAAATGAGCATCACAGGTAAATGAGTGAACTTCAAGACCTTCATCCTTTATAAGCATTACAAATATATGAAAATACTGGAAGTCGTATCCTCTTCCATTCTGGCCTAAAATACCAATATGCCCCTTGCTTTCACATTAGTCAATGTTCCCAGCCCCAATGGGTACCATTTAACACTTATCATGACTTCTCCAATCAATCCAAAGACATGCCAAAGTCCTCCTTTGTCCATTCCATTGTTTCTCCATCCCATTTGGAAATCAAATCTAATTGAAGATTCCTACCCACTCCACAATTTGGCTCCAGTCATTCAAGCAAAAATGGGCTTCTGTCCGGTAAACCTCCCGCAACAGACAACAATTTGCTTTAGCCCATTAAGTTTTTTATTTCTAAGAAATTATTCAGTTATTTTATTGGCATGCCTAACATAATCTACAATCTCTACTTCTAATAAATGAAGCTTAGAGAAGTATTTCTTGTAGAAATATTCTGAACTGCATCTGTTTCATGGCATTCTCATCAATCACAATCACTTTTTTTTTGACAAGGTTACATAGGAATGGAACTTAAGACGTTGTGCTTTGAAACCTAGCCTCTACCGTCTTGACCCAAGCCTGATTCCTACAGTAATTCCAATGTGTTGCAATGGCATCAGTAAAACGGAAGTGCAAAGGAGAAGGTACGTGCATACAAAGCTTAGAGATTTGTTTCTTCTAGAAATTTTCTGAACTGCATCTGTTTCATGGCATTCTCCTCATTCACAATCATAACTAACAGTATACTTAGCACATCTATCATTGGACATTGTAGACTGTCTTAAATAAATTCCAAAGCAAGGAATTCTATATTTAAGTTATTCCAATCATTGTTATAATGGCATTAGCTAATGAAGCGCAGAGGAGAAGGTAAGTAAATACATAGCTGATAATCAATCTTACCACCATTGAAGACAATGCCACGTTAACTTCAAGGAACAGAATAGGCAAAAATGCTACCTGCATCGTGAACATACAATGAGGACCTAATATCCATTAGAAAAAGACGATGTGCTATAATCTTCCAAAAAAATAAAAGATTTATGTGCTAGAAAGGAAAAAGAAAATGGAGAACCAAGTGTTCCTTCTCGAGGAAAACAATGCCCTGGAAAGATGATGATATCTAAGAGTAAATAAAACATAACTCCTGGCAGTTTATCCAAAATAGAAAACAAAATTCTTGGGTTCAAGCAAGAAATCATGAAACAAGCATTGCAACTATGATCCTCCATTACAATTCTACAAGGCTACATAACATAGGATCCACCTTGGCCAAGAACCAGTGTTGCATTTCCAGTGAGAGGAACAATCTCCTGAACTTTTTCACTCGTGAATATTGCCTGAATAGCTATCAATGAAAACATGTCAGAAAATCTACTAAGCAAAGCTTCTTGCAACAGACTAATACATCTTCTAGAGTGCTAAAACATCTTCTAGAGTACTAAACATAAACAGAACTTCAGAAAAACACATGTGAGCATATAAGCATATAATTCCATCTGATTTGGTGTCTCCAATGGATACAGTAATTGCATGAAGCAAACCATAGATGTCTTGACTGCAGCATATTTTTTACTACTGGTAGATAGAAAAGATAAAACTTCATAGAACGTAAATCCAAATATGAAACATAAGTTTAGGCAAAACAAGAAAAGAAACTGGCAAAATCACATGCTAGTGCGACAACTTAGTCCAGGAAGTTCTATAATTTCAGTCAGCGCACTTTGACATCTGCTATAATTAAATGATTTCATTCTTTGTTCATGTTTACCTGACAGGTTCCAAGCACAGCAAGCTAGTTTACTTGCAGGCATTCTTATAACCAATGGAGTACCTTATATGGTGCTCCAAAGGGACTCCACAATTTGCTAATGATGGATAATGGAGAATAAATGCGTTTGGAACCCATCAGGAAGGACATTCACCTACGTACAGCTAGCATCCAACATGCATCACATGAACAGATTGTGGTTGGCTAGAGTGACGTACTGTATAACATGCTCCATTAGATTGTGGTACATTTTCCCTACAAATAAAGCATATTAAAAGATCTGATGCCAAATGTCCCAAATACAGAAGAACAGAATGATCCTGACTCTATAAAGCAGGCATCAGTCACAAGATATTCTACCTGAATCTTCTCAGAAACAGTCCTAGCAACCTTTTTAAGTGCTTCCAAGGAAGCAGGGAGGTTCCATGTAACTATGCTATCATCTTCTTGTCTGATCATTACCTGAGAGCTGAAAAATATTCTCCTTGCTAGCAACTTCCCCAAGCTCAGTACTAGAGGCCTCAATCTCATTCTCAATTAATGCCATCACGTGCAATGAGTGGCATCCATCTGATATCCAGATTGTCCGAGGTCCTGCAAAGAAAAGGGGAGTTAAGAAAACCGAACCATGCAAATTTGGCGGAAGGCAAAGTAAACTACCAACTGATGGACTAAGGAAAACTGCAAACCACCATCCAATGAAAGGAACGATGGTAATTGAGAGAGAGAGAAGGATCCACCAGAGCAGGAAATGAGCTCAGTAGTGGGTCTGACTCTCTCTCTCTCGCTTTCCATCACCATTCACCATTTCATTTGATCGTGATGACCAAATATTGTTATCCATCATCAATTGGATTGTGTAGACTTTCCCCTGGCAGAAATCCAATTCCAAGATAGGTAAAACATACTAGCAGAGACATCAGAAAAAGCTCCAAACATCTGCACATTCATAGAACAGTCCATGCGCTTCATAAAACTCTGGTTAGAAGCAACGTCAATGGTTTCTGACCCAGAGGGATTGCCATGTAGGTTCAAAAGGTGCAAATCTCCAAAGGAGTCGAGGATCAGAAATCTTTTATGTGCCAAAGCATGGATCGAAATGACCCTTAGAGATGCCGATGAAGGGTTGTTGCATTTTGAACCATGGCAATCAGAACCCTTGAAACTCACAAAATAGGAACCATGCTCGCCCGAGTCCTGCCTTAATTTCAATGTTGTCCTGATTTCCACTGCATTAAAAAAGAAGAGAAATAATCCAGGTCAACTCCAGATGCCACTACCAATTTGGTCAGTCATCAATGAAATTTCAGACGCAAAGAGAAGAAAGAAATAATTGGTATACTGGACCTTCTTTTTTAAAAAAATTTCTTCTTTTTGACACATAATGATATATGGAATATAGTTTCTTCTTTTTGACTCGTAATGGTATATGGAATATAGCTCAAAGTTGCTGGAATCTTTTGTCTCAATTGCAACAAAGCCATGACAACATGCATACTTATTTCAAATAAATTTTCACGATTTAAAACATTTCAGGCTTGCAACAACCCTCCTGGAGCAGGTGCTATGGTAAGCAAGTTTCATTCACCTCTTACCGTACAAAGATTTACATAAAGAATTATCAAGAAGCAGGAAAGACAGAAAAAGAAAGTCATTATTAAAGTCATAAATGTCAACTTGAACCTAGTTAACAGTTTGATCTAATGAAAAAAACAATCAAATAACTAAAATGAACTTCCTCTTTTTGATGTAAAGCCAGCACATATGTTTTCAGAGCCTGAAACCGAAAGTTTGAGCATATTTGTTTGCTGAAGATATTTGGACCGTTAGTTTCCATCGTTTTTAGATGGAACACCTACTTGCATACATCTTTAAGATGGATGCTTTACACTCTTTGGACCACATATGTAGTCATGCGGTCCAGCCTCCATGAAACAATTTTCCATAAAAGAGAAGCCAATTTTCCAGGATAGGATTAGCATGAGGAAGGGGGGAGGAGGAGAGCTCGCCTGAACAATTCTAGTAAGAAAATATTTGGACCGTTAGTTTCCATTGTCATCTTAAAGATGGATGCATCTTTTCCGGTATGAAGTTACAAATACGAATCATTATAAAACAATGTGAACTTAAGCTCAAACCACGCACTCCACTAGTGTTTTTAGTAAAGTCTTGAAGTGTATGGTGACCTCTAAAAAGTGAACATACACCAGGACTATTTGTTGACACGCCTTTCTAAAGGTTTTTAGTAAAGCTTTGAGGCCATCATCAGATTGAGCTTTTAGCAAGTCCTTCAATGTCCCTTTATTCTGAACATGTTGGAACTTCTCCTTGAACCACATGAGTGAGTTTGGTGGCCTATCCCTTGGAAGAGGTTTACCCAATGACTTTTCAACTTATATACAAGCTTCCCAAGGTTCAAGTCATAACAAGTGTGAAATTTGACTGTTTTTGCAGGTTACCATTTGTACTTTCAGCAATATGATTTTACTTTCAGCAATATGATTTTAAGCAAAAATCGTTTTCATAGTATTCAACAAACGGGGTGATGCAGAAGCAAGCACTCCAAGGGAGAGAGAGAGAGAAGAGTTGTGGTATTTTTTCTTTTTTTTCTTTTCTTTGGGGGTTGGGGGAGTTGAGGGGTCTGGGTCGTGGGGTGTTTAAAAATAAAATGGTTTAATCAATATACGAAGAATTTATAGAACTTCACCGAGAAGAAATAGTAACCTACAAACTTTCTCAAAAAAAAAAAAGACATGGTAACCTACTATTAAAGGGCGCATATAGCATGCTCCCGAAAGAGCATCCTATACACGTATTCCCTGAAAATGACCATCGTTGGAGAATTTTTTTTTAATGAAAATTTGGGATTCATTTTAGAATCTAGATGAGTATTTTCAAGGAAAAAAAATTTAGATTTTGAGTTTTTGAACGCTTAGATCTGAATATCCAAAAAAATGCAGAGTCATTGTTCAGAACCAGGACATCATCTCTTTTTTAGTACGAATTGGGTGCATATGGATTTTTTGGTTGACGTGGCTGTGCGGTTGTGAAGGTTACATTCCAAAAAAATTTGGTCCTAAAAGTACTCCTACATGTGGTTTTATCCGAGGGAGTGCATTAACAATAAACATATAATCATTAGGTGTTATAATTCTAAGGTGTCCAATATTTAAAGAAATTTAAAAATTATATTATATATTGGAATAATCCAACCTTAACAAATTTTCAAAACACAAAGGCTAAGGTTATTAGTTGTGATAGGTGGATTTACCAAACAGGTGGTTTCTTACAAAAAGTTGTTTATTATGGTGACTTGGTTATTAAGTACTGGTATAGGTGTAATTGTCACTAAAAGAAAATTGGTACTTTTGTGATCTTTATAAAGGAACAGCTGAAAATCTCACTAAAGGACAAGGATATTTTACTAATAAAGTTACAAGACACTTCTAAATGCCATTGTGCTTTTGTGAAACCAAATATATCCTTTGTGATTAAGTTACCTACAAAGAATTACTTTTTGTTAAAAATGATGAATTTTTTAGTAAAAATACCCATCCGAAACTATTCTAACTTTTTAACCTTTGTATTTTGACGGGTTATAAACACACAAACACACGTGTGTGGGGAGAGAGAGAGAGAGAGAGAGAGAGAGAGAGAGAGAGTAAGGATTATTTTCATTTGCCTTATTTTGATTGTTATCATAGGCTCTATAAGATTGGCGAGAGAGAGAGAGATCACCAATTGGATATTGAATGACAGAGAATTTAGAAGAAGAGCAAATTTTTGCAAATTGGTCACAAACAAAAGGTTACTTAAGGAGATAGAGTAAGATATCTAACTAAAAAGAGTAGATCTACATATTCTTAGTGGATGCTATGTAAAATTGCAAATGGCAAGGTTGTATTAGGATTCTCCATTACCACAAATAGGAATAGAACTTGGTGCTTTCTTTAAAAGTTAACATGTGTAAAAACCCTGCAGATGGATACATATCCTTAAGAGACTTATTACAATAACTTAGTGCACTAGGAATAAAGAGTAGATAGAACTAGACTACCAGTTCTAAAACATCTTGTTTAAATACTAAGAGATTTATGTCGTGTGCTTTCAGATATATTTAACAACTTGTTCCCATACTGGCGTACAAAAGTAAATTTCCCTTTGGTCCATGGAGATGCGGTTCTCCCATTAGCCACTGCCACACCTAGAGCCTTCAATTTTCCCTAGGTTCCTCTCGCTACACACGGATAAGAACCCAATGTTGCAGTTGCAAGCACAATGGATATATGTTTCAAAATCAGCAGAAAACCTTCAAATTGAACAACATGATCACATCCTACAACAATAAAACCTTCTCGATAAGGGTCCTTCTAAAGCTGGCCGCCATTGTCCCAATATTGTTTTCTTTTTCTAGACATGTTAAGGGAAAGGATTGGAAATCTTGATGTCACAATTTGCTGCACTACCCTAACAAACATGCCACTCCCCCAATCATTGTTTAAAAGGCAAACCACCCAACGCCTAGGCGGTCCAAAGGGCCTGAGTGAAGGCGGCCAAAGTAAGCGATCTGCCCCTAGGCGGTAGGGCACCTGCCTAGGCAGGCGCTTAGTGCCTAGCCCTGGGTGGCCCCCAAGGCCTGCGCCCCGCTCAGAGGCGGAAATTACCCTTATTCAAGGGCATTTTTGGGTTTTCTTTTTTAAGAAAAAAGATTTAGAGATGGGTTTTAAATTCATTTGAAACCCAAACCCCATTAAAGTCCATTTTAGAGAGAGAGAAACCTCAAAAAACTAGATTTTATGATTTTTATAGGATCAAAAGGTTTATCAAAGTTACAAAAAATGGATCCAAACATCATCCATTGAGATTAGATTTAGTTTTGGAGTTTTTTTATTAGAGGGTGTTTTTTAAGATTCTAGCACTAAAAAACATCTCAAAGGTGGAAGTTTGGAGATCGAGCAATCAAAGTAAGTTCAATATTTTATTTTTTAGATTGCTTGTATTATTTTGAGATGTCTTCTTCAAGATTTAGTCGAAGTGGTAATCTGGATTGGAAATATGGCTATAACCCAAATCTTTTGGATAAAATTGCATAAGATGCAATTATTGTGAAAATGATACAAAATGGGATATAAACCGGTTTAAGAAAATCTTGCCGATAGTAAGGGGATGTTGTCCTTTGTAAAATGTTCCTGAAGCTATCAGAGAGGAGATTAAGCAATATATGAGTCTAAGTAAAACACAAACAGGAACAAAATCCTTGTCATTTGGGTCTATATCTGGTTTTGCTAGAAGAGGTGATCCGGGTTGGAAGTATGGTTATAACCCGAAACCAAACGCTAAAAATTGTATGATCTCAAAAAAAAAACGATAAAAATTGTATTATGTATAATTTTTATGAAAAAAATACAAATAAGGGGTATTAAGCGATTCAAGAAACACCTAACCGATATTAAAGAGAATGTTGCTTCTTGTAAAAAGGTTCCTGAAGCTATTACGGATGAGATTGGATAATATTTGAATTTAGTCGAACCAGAAAATGAGGAAAATGAATCTTGTTTAATAGAAACATCTTCTCCAGGTTCTTCTAGAAGGGGTGATCGGGGTTGGAAGTATGGTCATAACCCGAATCCGAATGACAAAAATCGTATTAGGTGTAATTATTGTGGAAAGGATACCTATGGGGGTATTTACTGGTTCAAGAAACACCTTGCCGGTATTAAGAAGGATTATGCTCTGTGCAAAAATGTTCTTAAGGCTACCAGGGTGGAGATTATACAATATTTGAGTTCAGTGAAGCACAAAAAGCAAGAAAATGGTGAAGAGGCACCAGGTAGAGCAGTCAAGACTCCTTGGCCTCATATGCTCAGAGTAAGAGGGAGGGTAGAAGAAGATGAGGACGAGGCAGATTCATAAGAAACATAGGAACATAAGCGTTATACTGAAGAGGGAGATGACTCTGATGATGAGAGCCTCGAATCTGATGCATATGACGAGGACTACCCTACTCCTTCTGATGATGATGATGACTGAAGAATGAAGACGCTTGACACTTGGTGTTGATTCTTAGATTCTATATTTTTTTTTTCTAGTTTCTATTATCTAACTCTTGTGTGTATGCTTTTATGGTTCTAGCATTGCATGGAAATATGGATTATGGACTATATATGTTCTCCACATTCACTTATCCACTTATTTTCTTATTTTTCTACCGCCTAGTCCTAGGAGCTGACCGGCCAGGCCCCCCACCGTTGCCTAGACACCGCCTGGAGTTATTGGGAACACTATATTGAAAAAAAGGGAGATCACCCTTAATTACTAGACACATTAATAACATAGAAATCTCCATAGTTATTTGGATTTTTCCAAAAATAAGCTCATATTCTCCGCTTCTGTAGAGTTCTATATGTTGTCTTCCTTCACCATCCTCTAAGATCCTAGATTGAATTGCTTCCACCAAATGATAGGTGACACACATCTCGCATTTTGAAAATGTAACCTTAAGAGGCAAAGATAAGATTGTCACTGAAATTTGTCTATGCATTTAGGTTTCTTCTAGCATTCTTCCTCCCATTGTTTATCAATGTCACTCTTACATTCCATCTGGTGATCTAAAAAGCAGCCCACCTAGGCGGGCCCAACAGCTGCCCAAGGGTGAAAATGCCCCTCATGGAGGGAAATCTTGGGGGTTTTTTTTTTAGGTTGTAAAAAAGGGGGGGTATTTAGGTTTTTATGCAACCTAAACCCAATTTGAACTGTTTTAGATACAGGAAAACTTCAAAAAGTTGCGATTTTGTGATTTCCATAAGATCGAAGGATTTCTCAAAGTTTCGAGAAATCGTTCCAAACATCTCCATGTGAGTGTGGATTTAATTTTGGAGATTTTTTAGGCCAAATAGAGGGTTTTCTAGAATATTTTGAGATTGGAAAATATTTCAAAGGTAGAAGTTTGAAGATCAAGCAATCAAGGTTACTAAAAAAAATTTGTTTTTCAGATTGCTTAGATTAATTTGAGACGTCTTCTTCAGATTCTAATAGAAGTGGTGATCCGCGTTGAAAATACAGCTACAACCCGAATCCTTTAGATAAAAAATTGCATAAGATGCAATTGTTGCGAGAAGGATACAAATGGGGGCATAAACCGGTTCAAGAAACATTTTGCCGGTATCAAGGGGGATGTTGCCCCTCATAAAAAAAGTTCCTAATGCAATTAGGGAGGAGATAAAAAAAAAATATGAATATAGTAAAAAAAGGCGGAAAGAGAGGCATGCATTGCAAAGCTAAGGTCTGAGGTTTGTGTTATTCATGATGATGATGATAGTGATGAGGAGGGGTATGATGAGTTGGAGCAACTTGCTATTTCCCAAACTAGGGGGAAAGGAAAGAGAGTTGCAATTGGTTTTAGGGGTAGAGAGCCTAAGAGGTCTCGAGGTAGGGCGGCTATGGATTCTTTTTTGCCCTCACCTGACCCTGAGATTGCAGGTGAGAAAATAAAGAAACAAATAACCATTGAAAACATAATCAAGAAAGGAGAGAAAGAGAGAAAGAGAGAGAGAGAGAGAACTGCTTAGTACATTGCTCGATGGTTTTATGAGGCAGGCATTCCTTCAATGCCGCTCACCTAAGCAGCTTCTAGATCATGGTAGAGGCAATGGGCCAATTTGGGCCTAAGTTGAAGCCCAAAACCCCAAATGGGCTTTCAAAACCTCTTTTGAAAAAAAGAGGTGAATGTCACGAGGGAGATTGTGGAGTCACGTGAGGATGCATGGGCTCAATATGGGGATTCTATTATGACTAATACTTGGAATGACAAGAAAAGAAAGAATTTGTTGGTGAATTGTCCTTTGGAGATTGTTTTTCTGAGGTTTATTGATGTCTCTAATGATAGCCATGGTGCCCAATACATATTTAAAAGTGATGGAGAAGAGCATCTAGGAGGTTGGGGAGCAGCATGTAGTACATGTTGTCACAAGTAATGTTGTTCCTAATGTTGCTACTGCTAATTTGTTGTGCATAGCCTCCCTCATATCTTTTGAACACCATGCACAGCACACTATATAGACCTCATGCTTGAGGCTATTGGAGGATTCGACGAGATTGCAAGTGCAGTTTAAAAGGCTAGGTCAGTTACAGCTTTCATTTATAGCCACACCCTCACGCTCAGCATGATACGCAAATTTACAAAGAAGAATGAGATAGTGAGGTCAGGGATCACGAGATTTGTTCCCTGGTACTTATGTCTACATAGCATACAGTTGAGGCAGATGTTCACCTCTGCTGATTGAAGAGTATGGAAGTGGGTCAAGGATCAAAAAGGGAAGAAGGTGAGAGATATTATGCTATACAAGGCTTTTTGGCGGCGGTGAAGGAAGCCCTTAAGGTATTTTTTCCTCTTGTCAAAGTCCTTCACATGGTTGACAATGACAAGTCCTCCATGGGACTACATATATGAGGCAATGGAAAGTTGCAAGAGAGAGATAGCCCACAATTTGGATAATGATGTGAGCCGCTATGAGCCAGCTTAGAAGATTATTGATGAGAAGTGGGATAAGCAGCTGGTTATTATTTGAACCTAGCTTTCCATTATGTTGATAAGGATATACACACAAATGACACATTTACGACTAGATTTAATAAGTGTTTGGATGTGCTAGTCCATAATCAAGATATCCAAAATATTATATGCATTGATGAGCTAATAACTTACAAATGCGCATTGAAGTTTTTTGGGAGTCCAATGGTCTTGAGACAAAGGACCAAAATTGATCCAGGTAATAATATATTTAACCCAATCCTCAATTTCAAGTTTTATGTTTGTTGTTTGTTTTCTATATTTCATATATAATTGTAATTTATAATCAACTTGCAACCAATTGGTGGAGCCAACATGGGTGTAGTGCTCCAAACTTACAAAAGTTGCCCATTCGGATCTTGAGCCTAACCAATACCCCGTCCGGCTGTGAGCAGAATTGGAGTATTTTTTAGATGATAATTACTTGTATTAGTTTACAGTTTATTAGTTTGTACTAGTAATTATTAATTATCTATGTCAATTGCAAATTTGTAATATTAATTAGTTGCATTTGAGTTTATTAGAAATGCATACAAAGAAAAGAAACAAGCTTGAATCAAAGAGGCTCAATGATTTAGTTTATGTGAAGTTTAATCGATACTTGAAGGACAGATTTGTTCAAAGAGATAAGAGAGACCCCCTTAGATCAAAAAACACGGATAATGCCATGGAGTGGTTGGTTAATGATGATGAGGTCAAGGGGTATGAAGGATAGATACGGGATATGGTCATGAAGGTCTCAAGGACAGCAGCCGACCCTCCTAGGGCCATTAGAACTTTTTTTTACAGAGGACGAGGATGGCGGAGGAAGCAGAAGCAGATTCAGAAGAGACAAAGGAGAAAAACCATTATGTTGAGGAGGGAGATGATTCCGATGATAATGGGCTCGACTCCGATGCATATGATGCAGCTGACCCTACCTTTTCTGATGATGAGTGATGACTCTATATTTCTTTTATTTTTCTTTTCCTCCTCTTATGTGTATGTATGGACTATGGCTATGGAGTATGGAGGAGTGTGTGCGGATTGTGGAGTATGGACATTTTGATATGTCATATGTGTTATCTCTTTCCTTTTTGCGATGATGAATTGATGACTGAATTCGAAAACTTTGAATGTTAGATTATATTTTCTTATTTTTACTATGTGTATGGAGTCTATGGAGTATAGACTGAAATATATGGTTATAAAGTAATGGACTATGATGGACTATATATATTCTTTATGTGTTATATGCCTCAATATGCATTTTTTTAGTTTTTACACAAAACCTGGCCCTAAAACAGTTGGATTAGACACCCTCCTATGCTTCATATTCTACCTGGACCCCCCCTTTGCCACCTAGGTGCCACCCGGTGTTTTGTGGAACACTAATTCCATCCAATATACTATAAGTTCACATATTAGCTAGTAATTAAATTTCCATGTAATTTCCAAATATAAAATAAGTTCCTTAGATACTAATAGAAGATGATAGAGGTAAAGTCCTCTTGGAGCAGTTGGAATGTTACTTGCAAGAAGAAACCATCATGGTGGTCTCGGTGCACAAGTCTTTAATTATTCAAGAGTTATTCTTGTTTTTCTTCATTAGCTCCAAAATGAGCAATTGCCCCCCTTTTTCTTTATGCAAAGACTGAGACGACGCATATGAATTGAAATTAGTACTACGTAAACAAAAAGATTTATAATACATGTGAAGCCATTGAAAGTAACACTATAAAAGTACCACATACACAAGCACATCCCATCATGCAGACCTTTCTTATTTCACATCTAGGTCAATTAATTTCCAATCACATTATTACAAAGGCATATTAGGACTTTAGATCTTGACGAATTCTAGAGACTCCACGTATCTAAGACAAACTGTTCCAATGATCTTGGCATCACCACTGCAACTGAATAAGAGTTCGAAACAAACACTCAAACCAAGAGGGGGAAAAAAGCTAAAAGCATACCAGGAACTGGGTCTGGTTCAGATGACACCTTCATTCCCTGATTAGAAGTAGGCAAAAAATTGTCCATGGATATGAAGGAAGCTCCTCCTCTTTTCAGCAAATTCTTGCTTTCACAAACAAACTGGCCATCAGAAACACCATAATTTGAAACTCGGATGAACCCATTATCCTCTGATACAGGCCCAGTAGGACCAATAAGCTTGCCATTATAGCTAGTAGCATTTGGATGCCGATATCTATCTGTATCTCGGATACCTTCATTGTCATCTAATCCCTTGATTAGCCCATTCCTCAAATTTCTCTTTGACCCTACGTTTCCACTGCAATCCTTCAACGAATCATCCCCAAATTTCATGGTAAAACTCTCAGAAATAGCACCCCCATCTTTCTGACCATTTTCAAATATCCCATTACTTAAATTTCTGCAACTTCTATGAGGCCCATCATTGGAAACCCTAACCTTATCAGAGACAACCTTCTTCACGACTTTGCCTTTTACGAGATTCTTCAATGTAAAAACCCTAACCCCATCTTCCTCGCCCAAGAGCAAATATTGCACAAAAACCCTAATTGAATAGACTGGACTGTTGCAGTCTATAACAGCACACTTAACTACATTCATGCGCTCTGTTTCAGCCACAGGTTTGGATGCCATGACCCAAATTTTTGCGGAAGAAGGAGAATGAAGAGAGAAGACATTGACAGAACCAGAAAGCTGAACACCAAATCCGTGGGGCAAATCAAGCGAGATCCCCGAGTTAGAACGGGTATCCTTGAAGCAGAGATGAGCTCGAGTAAAGGTCGAGTTTTCTTTAAGAATCCAGGCTCTAAGAAGGGTTCGAGATCCTGATTTTGCAGGAGAAGTGCAGAGAAAGAGAACTCGAGGGTTTCGGCCATGGCCATGGATGCGGATAAAGCAGGCTGAAGAACAAGGAGGAGGAATGGAAACACAAGAAGGAGCAGATAAAGAAGGAAGAGAAGAAGAGAGAGAATGGGAATTGGTGGAGAGAGAAGGAAGAGAGAGAGGGAGAAGGGGGAAAAGAAGGATTGAAGAATCAGAAGACATGACAGCAAAAGAGCGAGAAGTGGGTTCAAAGAAGAGAGAAGAGGCCACCAAAGAAGGGTGGTGGGGGAAAGGAGGGAGGTTGAGCGTGCAAGACTGCATAACCACCTGCTTCTCTCTCTGCTGCCGTTTCCTCCTCTCATGGCTTCAACGCCATGACCCTCTCCCTCTGCCTCTGCCTCTGCCTCTGCCGAGACCCGAAATAGCAGATTTCACATCACCGTTTACCCAACGGGTGAGATTTATATTGAATGCCCGCCTTAGATTGTGCAAGCCGCATCTCTAATTTTTGTCGAGGATGAAGTGAAAGTCAAAACCTTTAGATTTGAAAATACATGTTCAACCCTACTCATGGAATGTAAAATTTTAAATACGATAAAGATCAAGCAGATATATAAGAATTTTAAAATCTTGAAAATAGCTAGTCTAGGTTATTTGTTACAATATGCATTGCTTTTAGGATTTAAAAAAAAAAATTTCTTTATATCCATGCATTTTGAGATCGAAATTAACAATTAGAAAGTCTTCTAAATATTTGAAGTAAACATTACGTCTATTGTATAAGATTTGAACCTTATATAAACTTTTTCCTTACCAAAAAACCTACGAAAATGCCACAATTATTTCTAGCGGCTAGTGGAGCCAGCATGGGTCTTTTAGGGCCAGATTGGGCTGAAGGGGCCAATCCCAGGCTCGATACGGGCCTAATACAAAAGGAATTAAAAAATAAAAAATAAAAAACAAGCATTGATCATGCTGGACCGGTTTTGTCGTAGCCAATGCCCAGGTCTGAGTCAACCCCAGCCTTGCTCTAAAGTCATATTTTGTGACCCAAAATCGGCTCAATCTTTGCCCAACTCTCAAGCAACATTTTGTGGTCCAGGTTCTAGTTTTTTAGAGTTGGGCCAATCGATCCATCCTAAGGCATCCTTAGGCACCTTGTTAATTACATTCAATATATCTAATTGGGTGGGGGGGGGGGGGGAGGGAATAGAAAAAAAATTACAGTATTTCTCCTTCATCAGTCCTCTCAGAGAACTGCTTGCTAAGTTTCATGTGGCAAAATAATCTTTAAAAGCTAAATCCAATTATCTAAATAAGAAAATTGAACATATGAAAAGGTCGTAGGGTTAGTCAAATTACATTTCAAAAAGACTTTGATGTCGAAAGATCAACCCTCTCAAATAGCAGCCTGATGAGTTTCATGTGGAAAAAATAATCTTCAAAAGCTAAATCTAATTATCTAAACTAGAATATTAAACATAGAAAAATAAATAATTAACTAAAACTAAAAGAGAAGAAGAACATACCTAGAAAACTTGGAACATAGAGTTTAAGGCTCAGATCATATATCTCTTTCTTGCGCACCTCCTTCTTGTTGGGAGATTTTTTTATTACTTTTCATTTGAATAATTTTGACTAAGGACTTTGAATTCCTAAGTTTAGGGTTCCTATAGATTCTAAGGCTTCCATGTTTCTAGGGTTCTAATATGTATAGGGCTATAGGGTTTCTTATCTTCAAGGGGAAAATTAGGATTCCTAATTCCTAAAGGATTTTTACTTTTTTTCTAGGATTTTTGGATATTTTAGATCTAATTTCTAAGGCTTGAAGGCTTAACCTATGGCTAAATGATTTCTTTAAAGGCTTAAAGGACTAGGTTATGGCTAAGAGATCTCCAAGGGATATTTGGTTATTTTTCTGTGATTTTTTATGTTGTAAATTGTGGAAGGCTAGAGGAGTTTTGATGCAGATAAAAAATGAGTTTTAATTTTTTTTATTTTTATATTTTCTAGAACTTAGAAAATATGTTATTTGAATTTTTAGCTTTCCTTAAAGATATTTTTGCCTTTTTTAGTCGTAGAGATCTAAGT